GAATTCTTCAGCTAACTATCCCTTTCCTTGTTTTTTAAATGCTAAAACCAGACATGTCGCTCTGGCATTTTGAACCTAGAGAGCTAACTCTCCCACAGCCTGGCTCTGCTGTCATGTTACCTGGGTTGTGCTCAAGGGGGTTGTACATCGCCGTGAGGAGCAGGATTTGGCCCCTCAGCTCTGCCATTCTGCTCTCCCTACGTGCATGTGTCTGGCATGTACAGTGAGAGTGGAATATTGGTGTGGATAATGCAGCTAGACGGCACAATGGGCCCTCTGTGCAACCAGCCCGGATCCCTTTTTTCTTCACAACAGAAAGGATGGAGAAAAGGACCAAGTAAAATAAAAACCATGTATTGTACCTGCTCTCTGGGGCAGGTAGCATTTCAGGCTACCTTCCCTGTTCTTGCACCACACAATCAGCTGGGATTTTATCTACAAAGGTGGAATTTCACTATCATGGAGGCAAATAAAATGCCCAGCCAGGGGAAAAATAAATTTACAAAATCTACATCAGACTCATCACTGCTTAACTGAGAGTTTTCTCTGCTGAAAATATGCCAGCATTAAAGACCCCTATATGAGCTCTCTGTGCCAGCACACTCATCTGAGCATGGCCCTAGAAAAGTAGGCATTTGAGCCATAGTAAGAAAGCATCTTTGCCCCTCTCATGAGGACTTTCTGATTCTTATTTTCAGGCTCGGAGGCACAATCCAAAGAGCCACTTGACTTAGAGTGGACAGTATCCACTGGAGCTTCAGTCACTATGTGCAGCAAATAATTTTTCTGAATTTAGTGGGGGGTTTCTTATTTACAAACCACCTGAAAACAGGTGTATTTGACTATCATGATATGTCCTTGGTCAGACTTGTTTCAGTTCATGGGTCAATGACATGAACTGTCCACAGCTATTTGTTATCTGGAGCATATGATATTGTGTCAGCTCCAGAACTGGAGGTCTGAAACTTTACATATTGGACCAGCATTAACAGCCTGTGGCACAACTAGCCCATTATGATGTGTGGCTCCCTTTGTTCCTGGTTAGGGGCATTGCACAGATAGCAGCTGTTCTCTAACATTTGTGTGAGCGAAGACCCATTTGCATGGATGTCCGGAAAAAAAGTGAAGAACGTGTGAATGAGGACAAGGTGGACGAGTGATTGAGAGTTGGTGCAATTGTTTCGATATTTTCCTGTCATTCCCCTGCTCTAGTACCCATCACTGGAGGCCTCCTGGGCTAGAAAGGCTTACAATTCACTCCTTGTGGAATCCATCCTAGATAAGGGCTCAGGCAGCCGGATTTGTTTACAGGCAGTATTTGTATTAAAATGGTTCGTTATTTTCCTGACTGGCAGATTTCCAGAGTCCATGCTGGTTAATAATTGCAGCCAATTAAATGTTCCCAACATATGCATCAGGAGAAGAACCAAAACCCTGAAAAAGAATTTCTTACGAGATATCCCCAGGCTCAAGTTGGGTAGCTAATAACTCTAGGCCTGACTTATGCTGGGTCAGATAAGTTGCAGACATGAAATGAGGGCCTTGCTCCAAGCCCTATGTGCTGCTCTGACAGGCTACGTCTACATTGGCCCCCTATTACGGAATAGGGATGCAAATGTAGCATTTGGGAAGAGGCAAATGCGCGGGGGATTTAAATATCCCCCGCGGCATTTGCATTTTCATGGCCGCCGCTTTTTTCCGGCTTGGAGATAAGCCGGAGAAAAGCGTCCAGACTGGCGCGATCCTCCGGAATAAAGCCCTATTCTGGAGGATCTCTTATTCCTACTTGCAAGCCCTGGTTGCCAGAGATGGGAGGGGATGGTACAATAGCACAGACTGCAGAGTGCATTCTGGCTTGGGTCTCAGTCCATAGGCTGCATAGTGAGGCACTGGTTCTTTTACCTCCATGTCTGTCCCCACAGGGGTGTGAATCAGAGGCAGTATATCCTATGGTGAGCAGAGGGGCAAAAAGGCAGCTTTTCAGGGAGTCTGTGGTCAGGATTTAGTCTTTGAAAATAAGGGCCTGTTGTAGAAGTGGGTGGAGTCTTATGGGAATCCAGATCTGCAAGACTGACCCATCTGAAAGCTGTGGATAAATATTAGTGGGGGCGGTAAGTAATCATGACTTCCTTTCTGCTCCACTGAAAATAATGGGGGCCACGAAGATGAATAATACTAACAATGATTTCAGGAGTCAGTTTTTCCTGACTAGTGTTTTTATTCACTGTAGTGTGATTTGTCCCTCCAATACTCCTGTCCTGAGCTTCCTATACTACTCCAGACCCACTCCGCAGCTACCCTGCAGTTCCAGTCCTGAGTCAAACCAAATAGAAAACACTTAATTGTGCCAAAAGTCAATCAGACTCTGTGGTCAGTTTTTTGGGTTTGGGGCATGTGTGCACGCGTGTGTGTGTGTTTGTGCTTTTTTGGTAGCATGGGCAACCATCCATTAGACTGATAGTCCCACCCCTGCTCCCAGCCCCCTGCTCATTTCACAAGTGGCCTTGGGTATTTTGTTAAGCCATATATCTAGTTTATTTAAAATATTGTGAAAGCCAGCCAAAGGGAATGAATAAAGAAGCATTATTTAGCTAACATTTGTACAGCTCTTTGAAGATATAAAGCACCATAGAAACAGTAAGGACTGATACATAGTGTCAGATTACTGGAGAGTTTTATAGAGACAGAGAGAGAAATGATGAAATCCCAGTAAGAAGAAGGGTGGGAAGATGGGGGTATCTGCCTGTGCCGGTGGGGGAATGCTGCCTTTTGGAAAGGCAAATAAGCACAGTCTAGGTTAGGTCATCTGTCGAGAGAATAATTGTGCTTCTAAAGGGCCTGATATGCAGAGCAGTGCTGCTTTGAAATAGAAATAAATACATAAATAAATCAGGGACTTTGCACTGATGAAGGCGAGTGCTTCCCCTGCTTTCTCATTCCCCGTTGGGTCCTGCTTCCCAGAGCCAATTACATATTTAAAAAGTTTTTCTCTGAAAAGGACTCCAACTCTCAAATAAAGTTTCTTTTGTGGTTGCCTAATGAACTGTGAGGGATGGGGCAGTTTACAGCTTGCTGACTGGTTTTCAATTGCTCTGGCTCCTGCTTGTAACATCTTTATGGAGTGACCACAATGACAATGACCTTGCAGCTACTGGGTCACAGGGTAACCCCGTGGCGACTGGTCATTGGCTCCATTGTGTGAGGGGAGTGAGTCGACCAGCTTGCCTCCCTTGTCATCTGCCCCTCCTAGTCCTGCCCAGGCAGTCAGCACCTGAAAGGGACCCCTGTTGCTTTATCATGCTGTGGCTAAGTGGACTCTCATTCCCACTGAGGCAGAAGCCTAACCCAACAGTGTGTCTCCATCGAGGGCTGTGAATCCTTCTAGGTAAGAAAGCATCCCAAAGAGAAGAAGTGGCCTTTTCTGTCACCCCACCCTTTCCCCAAAGCAGGGGAGAAGCTGAAGGAATCCAGTCCCCAGCTTAGTGCTTGTGCTGCTGTGTGGTGTTGTGGTTCCTTGCATCTCAGACTAACTGCTCCTGGGTGCTCCAGCTCCTTGCAAGTGAGAATGCCCCAGGCTGGAGGAGCCAGCTGTCTTCCCATTAGGCTCATTGTGTAAAGTCACCTTGCACACTACTCCTAACCCAGACCCTCCTGTTGCAGCTTCAGCATTGGGAAAACTGGGACCTGCTACCTCCAAAGTGTGGCCCCCCACCACAGGCACACGTCTGTTTGTAACCAGCCTGGGACACTCTCACCTGACCCGGTTACAGCACCCTCAGCAGCTTCCCTCAGTACCCAGCTTTGTTTTGTGTGTCTCTGCCAAGCGTTTCTGTCTCTTTCTCTGTGTAGTTGGGCATTCTGGGAAAATCTGGGCAGCTCTCCCATATTTGTAGACAGCCATAAATGTTGAGGGCACAGTATACACAAATACAAGCCATGAGGCCCTGCCCCAGAAACTTTATAACCTGGGTCTAATTAGGCAAGCAAGGCTATTAAAATCAATGGGTATCTCAGGTGAAAGAAATACTTACATGAATAAAGCATTGCAGGATCAGGCCCAAAGGGTAGGACATGTCTGGATTGGTGACACAGAGCAGGGAGGGGACTTGGAGAAGAAAGAGTAAGGAACTTAGAAGCCATGCTAGCTTTAACTGATGGTGGCTGAATCAGAGAGATTCAGAGTGTGCTTCCCTTAAACAATCACATTTTACCACACTGATGTCTTACTGACAGATTTCCAAATGGAGCTTACAACCAAGGAAAAAAGGGTTCAGATGTTAAGGGCCATATTAGTAACTTAATGGATAGACAGACAGATGCCTACACATTCATCATACCCAACATGTATTTCCACTTCCCTGCTTTAAATGTGGATTGTTAGCAATGGAAATTATTTTGATCTGGTTATGGATGCAGGGAGAAATGGCCAATTCTTGACTTTTAACAATTAAAATTGGAACCTTCCATGCCTAGGAATCTTCTTAGGTTTAAAGAATGTGCAATTATGCATATACACACAAAAGGGTAATGAGAGGAAAACAAGGTAACCCTACATCCTAGGGCTAAATCTAAATCGCATGGAAAACTAAAAATTGACATCTAATCCACAAATGACACAAGCCATTATCTTTGGCAATAGAATTGCACTTTTTATATCTATGACAAAGTGGAATGTTAAGAATTGTGCAGCCTGGATTAATGTTTACTAACTTCTACTTGCCTATAGATAAATATGTCCAGATGGATGGGTGCGTGCATGTGTATTTAGTTACACACAGACCCATTATCAAACTTTATGTGGTATTTTAAACATCATATTAGTTATACAGCTGGCTAAATTATTCAACATAAATTATTTATTTGATTCAGTTTTTCTATTTTTAATTTAATAAATTATTTGTGAATTTGTCATTGTTATCTGACCCTCTGAACTCGTTTTACAGAACATAAGGGAACAAACTTGCCATGGCAGGGAGATGAACTGTGTGACCTAAGGGATCTTCCTCTATCTGACTTCTATGATTCATGAATATTTTAATAGATTTTATATTTTATCCCATATGTTGTAAATATTTGTACAACACAAAATCAAAGCAAACCTCTACAGGAAATTAAGGTGATTTGGCAGAACAGAGTGGGGTTTGAAGAGTGAAAAAGTGAGGAAGTTGTGGGCGAGGAACAGGGGCTATTGGCAGAGCTGGAGATGGCAAACCCAGTATGCTAACAGCAGAGGATTCTGTGGGCCAGGATTGACATGCATTGGCACTCTAGAAATGCTTCCCTGCCATGCATCCTGTTCTCAACAACCACAATGCAGTAGTAGCATTACTGACTCAGGTCCAGATTGAAGGATGCAAAGCCAGACCTGGCCTGAGCTGGATGGACCTGCAGAATGTGCTTCTCTTTTATTTCCATTTTTCCTCTTTTTTTCAGCATCCCCATGAAATGCTGGATTTCCGGCTGGTGTGGTACCCAATGGGTGGAAAACCAAGTGTGGGGGAGGGCCGAGAAGAAAGAGAGAATGTTTTTAAAAATATGCCAGGAATTGGCTTGATTTTTTAAAAAATAGTGGTTTGTGTTAACACTATTCCTAATGAGGCGTCCTTCCGATCCTTAAGTGTTGCCAAGGCGATGACCCCAGCCAGCCATCTTTAATTAACTTAGAATAGATCTCTTGAAATGAGTTCCTCTGGTAAATTGCTCACCCAGCCTCTTGGGCACGAAGCAGTGTTTGCCAAGCCCACTCACTCCAGCATTCGCTTACTGTTATTTTTAAAAGATATCCAGAGATGGCTCCCTCCTCTCCATTTTCTCCACCCTCTGTGCATGCTGGTTGCTACAGCACCTAAAAAATAGGCCATTAGGCTTCTGGCATGGGAAGTTGGGGAGCTTTGTGCAGTGATCTCCCTGGTGAAGCAGCACCTGAAAAACAGGCCACTTGGGTTGCTGTTTTTTTGCAGAGGATCAGGATAATTGAGGGAAAATGGGTGAGACTCAGGCATTCAAAGCCCTGGAGAACAGTGAGGGAATTTGACCTAATGAGGCTTTCCCTTCTCAAGCATCCATGTTTCACTTGGAATAGCTGTTTCTCGAAAATGAGGAAAGCTGAAGGCAGAAAGGTCCATGGTGGGCTCAGTCTGCTCTGATGCTGTGTCCATGAGGGTGACACCAGCCAATATAGTAAAAGGCACCCCGCAGCTGGGCTATTCTCCAACTAAGCAGAGAGAACATCCCATTTCCTGTATGAGAGATAATTCTGGTCAAGAGAATGCCAGGACAATTCCTGAAAATGCCGTAATTGTCTTAATCTGATCGTGGATAAAAGATAATGATGCTAACAATATTGAAACGTAATTATAGCTTCCTGCTGTGATTGGTCTCCCTGAATGCTCTCCATTCAATTGGCTTTGTTTAGGAGAAGCCTCGATCTAATTCAGGATGCTCTGCGGCTGGTGTGTTTTGTAGCTTTTTTACAATTTCCACCTGCATCTTCAATCAATAGAGATGGGCGCTCTGCAGTGCAGCCCTATCCACCAGATTAGGGAATACCAGTACTAACACCACAGCAGGTAAACCTTTTGGTATCTGGGAAGGTACCTTTTGTTGTTATTGTTAAGATGAATGACCGTGGGGTGCTTTGCTACCTCCCATTTTCCCACTTTTGGATTGCATGATTTTTGCATTCCTGGCCTTGCAGTTTAATGCATATTTTGAGAAACATTCCAAGAATGCAAAAGGTGACTAGAAGAGAATAAAACTAACCATAATCTGTATGGCTGTCACACCTAGAGAGTGGGGCTTCATTTTCTTAGGCTGTACAAGTACGTAGTCAGAGACAGTCCCTTCCCTGAAGAGCTTACAATCCAAGTAGACAAGAAAAGAGATAAATGGGGAAAAGGATTAATTTCTCCACTTTACAGAGGGGCAGAGAAATTAAGTGACTTGCCCAAGGTCATATAGGTGGGCAGAGGCATGAACAGTCTCCTGAGTCCTGATCCAGTGCCCTACACCATAAGAGCAACCATACTGGGTCAAACCAAAAGTCCATCTAGCCCAGTATTCCAGGTACCCCAGAGGGAATGAATAGAAAAGGTAATCATTTAGTGATCCAGTCCCTGTTGCCCATTCCCAGCTTCTGACAGACAGCCACACTGCTTCTCTAATAGAAGAGAAATGTCTACTCAGGATGAGGGACAGATGCATGTATCTACAAAGGAATGAAGTAAAAACAGGAGCAAAGGCAGGATCTGGACCACATGAACAGGCTGTAGGCTGGGGCTCTGATTCCAGATCTCAGGTCTTTAGTAGGCTGTCTGAATCCTCTGCTGGAAGCTTGTGTCAGCTCTTATGGACAGGTGTGGCCATTTATTTACTTAAAAGCTGATCTGCATTTCCCCTCGTGACATTCCTGACTCCTGTTCAGGTTCCCAGCCAAATTCTTCACTGCCCAGAGTGGGTAAAACCCAACTGACTTCAGTGGCATTGGATCCCTTTATACTACCCTGCCTGGACATTTGGAAACTGTGTTCCTCCCCAGATGGGTTGAGGGATATTAACCATATTGGACCAAATTATCTCGTTCAAACCCCTGCAACAGTATTAATACTAGTGAAGTAGCATGGGCACAAGTGAGGGTAGGTTTTGCTCTTGGTCCATGGACACTTACCCAATAGTTATCTTAAGGCTTTTGGCCTTGGATTTTTTTCAGGGAGCCTATTTGTACATGTATAAATGCTCTTGTACCATTTCTCTAATGTCTTAGGTCAAAGCAGGCTAGTTTCTGTACCATCCCACAACTGGATCTTGTCTTCCCATTTTCTTACCCTCAAATACCCAGTTGCATGGGACTTAAGCACTGTCCCTCAGCATGATAATATGAACATAATGCAATGCTACGTTTCCAAGCTTTTGTGGTTCCACAGCTACTGAAGAATTAGTAGCGATGGTTGATCATCCCCATACCTAGACCCAAGGAATTGTCCATATTCCCTGCCTGTGCATTGTTAGGGTAGGATGGGCTCAGTTCACACTGAAATGAGGAATTCAGATATAACTGTCTGGCTTAGCTGTTTGACCACAGAATTGGCTACTAGACAACTCGCAGCTCAAAATGTCATTTGCCTGATACCTGGCATCACACACCAGCCTCTCCGGGTATTGCACAGTAGGAGCCAAGGTGTGAAAGGGGGAGACAGCTTCATTCACAAATTTCATTGAGTTAAACAATAAGGAGGGATTTCTGGCTTTGGCCCTATCATGGAATAGGAGTAGGAAACACAGATGCACTTTCAGAGGGTATTCCATACTGCTGCCACTTTTTATACTTTCCCTTCTCCCAAAATCAAAACCTGCTGCCATTGCCACTGCCTACTGAGGATCTGAGAGCAGGTATCCCCCACTAATCGAATACCAAAGCCATTAAATACTTCTCAGGGAGGGACTGGCAGAGAAGCCCCCCTAATTATCAGCTGAGCAGGGGGGTGCAAACTCTGTCCTCCATGCCCTGCCTCCAGAACCTCAGCCCAGTGGTGAAAGCACCCCTGGGTGAGCCAGAAGTGGAATCTTGGGCCTTTGGGCTCTCTGCTTCTGCTCAAACTCTGGCTCAGAGCTAAGCAGCTAGGAATTAGGGCTGGGCCCCATCAACAGGATCAAATAGGAACTTGGCAATCTCCACTGAATTCCCTATAGCCATTCTGCCAGCTGCCCCTCCCATAGGTGCATCTCTCCTATTCTTCCTGGTGTGGCCTGACAGCCTCCTCTTGGCACCTTTGCTCCCCTTGGAGAAAAAGAAACACCAGCAAGATGCTAGCTCTTAGGCACCTCCAAAGTCACTGGCCCTTCTCTGGGCCCTTGCAAAGCACCACGTGGACATTCAAACCAAGGGTGAGTGTCATTCCATCATGCTAGGCCCTGGGGCAGACAGAGCATGTATGAAACAGAACATTGGCCGAGCCACCCGGAGAATGGCTTGCTACAGAGAAGGAAAGAAGGTGCCGCTGGGCTTTCTTGGGCACAGTCTGTCTATCGGCATCAGACCTAGGATGAGCACCTGCCAGAAGGGAACTGGGAGGCTGTCTTGGTGAAGGTAGCCAGGGACGTAACTGTCCCAAGGCCAAATTATTTTCCTGCAAGTGAACAAGGGGGTGTCAGGGAGAGTAGGGGGAAAGCCTCTCCCCCTCCACTCCATCTAGTTAGCTTGCCAGGAAGCTAATTGCTAAAGCTGGCGAGTCACAGTGTTTCTGCCCTTCTAGTCCCACCTGGGTGTTTAGAGCCTTCCTACACCTCCTGCTTCGCCAGGCCAAGCACTTGCTGCATGTACCAGAGACCTGCCCAGAGGTCCCCTCGGCGGGTCCTACAATAAAGATGTGTGGTGCCATCGCTCTGTTTGCATTCAAAATAAC